TGTCGGAGGGAGTAAGGGAGGGAGCGGGGGTGGGGCGCACAGAGGATTCCAACAGGAGACTGGAAGAGATTTTGAAAGGTCATCTCGTCCTTCCCCCAGCCTCCAAGCAGCACTGCCCCTCCCTCCCTAAACCCGGACATACCAGGGAAGGAGTTGGCTCTGCCGCTCTTTCTGCCCCAACATGCACAGACTCGGGAAGTTCTTCCTGGGGTTTTATCTCAAAGCCTCTCCCTTACAATTTCTGTCTCTCTTTTGGGGGAGGAGGAGGGGCGATTATAGAGATAGTTAATGTCGGCCGTATAAGAAACATTATTAAAGTTACTCTTCGGTCCTTTCCGTTCTTGATAAACAATTCCTGCTCCTTCCTCTCGAATTCTATTTTCCATCCCTCAAGTCACTTTAATGGCTCTTCAATACAACAAATATTTACTGAGTGCTTACTAAGTGCCAGGCACTGGGCTCAGCGCCGTGAGGGATGAGAGAGAAGTGGTACCTTCCTTCCAGGCGATTGTAGTCTAGACTACAAACTAGTAAGTAGTATACTCAGATTTATTCAATATTTACTGAATGCCTGTTCACCTAATAGTTTATAATCTTTCCAATAACCCTCTATAATAAAATTAGTCCCCATTTACAAGTAAGAAAAATGAGGCTTCAGGAAGTCTCTTTCCCCAATGGCCTGCAGGCTCAGGGATCCTCAGTGCAAGCCCAACATCTCACATCGCCACCAAATAAAATCAATGCACATGGGAATTGAGGAGGAGTAGACACACAACAGTTTTCTGGATCTCTTTAAAACGTGACTCCCACTCCCCGGGAAAGAAAAAAGTAGATACAGTGCCCCGCCGATGTTGGCACAGCACTGATGGGGCAGGAGTGGCTTACAAAAGATCACTTGCCTCCCAGGACCGTGCCTCCTCTACTAACTTCTAGAGTCTTCTGGCGCAGTCTCCTCTTACCGTCAACAACAAGAAGTAATAGTGATGATGATCATAGCCACTAACATTGAGCATTTGTGTGCCAGATACTGGGCTAAGCTCTCTTCCATGCTGAAAGCAACCCCTTGAGACTGGTATTATTAACTTCCTTTTATAGATAAGGGAACAGAGAGATTAAGCAACTTGCCAAGGGCACCCAGGTAGACCTGGGATTTGTTTTGATCTATAAAATATATTTGGGCCCAGCTGGTTGTGCTTCTGACTGTAGAAATGTGTCCCCAGCTCACCTGCTGAATAACACCTTTAGTGTATGGGCATCAGGCTTATCAGTTTGACCTCATCAGCACCACTAGTAGTAAGCACCCACCCTGAATCAACAACTCTTCATAGTCATATTGTTAGCCCCCTTTTATCAGTGAACAAACTGAGGTTCGAATAGGTAGAAAAACGTATCTATCAGGACACACACAGTGGCTCACACCTGTAATCCCAGCAGTTTGGGAGGCCAAGGAGGGGAGATCACTTGAGCCCAGGAGTTTGAGACCAGCTTAGGCAACACTGTGAGACCCTGTCTCTACAAAAAATTTAAAAATTAGCCAGACATGGTGGCATGTGCCTGTGATCCCAGCTACTTGGGAGGCTGAGGCAGGATGATTATTTGAGCCCAGAATGTGTAGGCTACAGTGAGCCATGATCATGCCACTGCATTCCAGCCTGGGTGACAGTGAGCCCCTTCTCAATAATATAATAATAATAACAATAATAATAATGTATCCAAGATCACACAGATGGAGAAGCAGCAGAGACAGTCCAGGTCTGTCTGGCTATGAGGCACCTTCTCTCTCAAAAATATTAATTGTTGCAACAGCATCCTTCCAAGACTCACTATTTGAGGACCATCTTATGTATACATATATATATGTGTGTGTGTGTGTGTGTGTGTATCCAGTTGCAGGTTATCATTGAATCAAAAACAATCCCCACTATAAACAGAGTCCCCCCATCCATTTAGTCAGTGTTCAATTCAGAGTAAAACCTTCAAGAAAGAAGGGAAGGGAGACTGTCCAGAAAGTGAGAGGCAAGAAAGCCACTGGAATTTAACCTTACCTGGTCTGGGGGCAAAGCTTCAACTAGTAATGACAGGGGACCAATCCAGACAGAAAGTAGGATCTCCAAGGAAGGACAAATAATTTGAGGAGGAAGCCAAAGCAAGAAGTAAGATCATGTGGAAATGAGGGGGATTGAGGTCCAGAGTGATAGTGTCCATGGGAATGAGGTAAGTGAAACCAGAAAAGGAACCCAGGATGGGCAGAAATGCGGGTAATGAGAAATGGGAACAGAGTGAGGCCAGGCTAGACATCTTGTGGAGTGAACTGAGGCCGGTATCTACCCAGGGCCACTCCCTAGATCCTTAGGCCTTCATAGAAACCTTTGCCCCACCACACCCCATCCCTGACAGCCTTTCTCTGCCAGGACAAGTTTGTCGTCTGCTCTGAGCTATCAAGCCCCTTAGGAGACCTAAGACCCAGCTGGGTCCCATCCCTTTGGAGTTAACTGCTTCAGACTAGGTAGGTGTGAGGACCTGGACCTCAAATCCCTGGATACTGGGAGTGGGCAGAGGTATAACTGAAAGATATGTTGTTGCATGTCCTGTCTCCTAATAGATGGAACCTATAATGTATTTTTCCCAGCCTAGGAAGCACCTAATTCTTGTGGGCAAAGGAGCCATGGAAGATAGAGCTGGTCAGCAAGAGCAGGAGAGACACAGCCTCCGTCTGGAAAAGCTACAACATTGGGCGAGGCACAGGCAGAGTGGGCACCTCTTGGTGCTGGCGGTGAGGACAGGCTACCCCATCCCGAGTCTCAGCATGTCCACTTCTACCCAATTCAATTCCATCCATCCATCCATCCATGTTAAGTGAGCACCTACCATGTGCCAGAAACTGTGCTAGGTTCTGAATGGGAGGAGGGTAGAGGAAAACATAGAAATAAACAAGGCAAGACCCTTAATCTCCAAGTAGCTTCCATCTTGTGGGGGAAAACACACAGGTAAGTAACTAAACTACAATATGAGGCAGAAAAAATTAAATGATACTTATTTTTTAATGATCACTTCCTTCCTTGCTCTGGGTTGACTGCTTTCCTCTACCCTCCATTCAATCCCATTTCCTGATCTCTAAAGAGGTAGGAGTTATGAGAAGGGAAGAGAATCCCTGACAGTTTCTCCTCAATTACCCTGCCCTTACCCCAGGTGAGTCAGCTATGGCTGGCAGTGGTTGTGGTGCCCCTTGCTGTCTCAGTCGCCTGCCTGAACTCTGAATGTCACATGGCCACAGCGCTGCCTCTTGGGCCTGGAGCCTCAGTAAGACCCACCACAAGGGAGGGTGGAAGGTCCCAGGGCCCCTTCCTAATGGGACCAGAGCTCAACACTTGCCCCTCTCACCATTCAGGGTCTCCTCACTGGGACTGTTACCCTAGAGCTTCGCAGAGCACCCCGCCTCTGGAAGGTGAGAAGGAAGAGAACGCAGCACTGTCCCCCCACTCCCTAAAACAGACACCTACAACCCTCAGCCTAGGAAGTAAGTGGCTAAGTGTTGACTCATCCTCTCAGCTGTCACCACTCACTGGCCTCAATGACTGAGGAGGGAAAGCAAAAAAAGTTAGAGGGCTTATGGCCCTGTTTGGAGGCTGAGAAACCGAAGCTGAGTTTTGTCTTCAGCTAGGCTGCAAGTGGGGATTGAGGTTGGAATGACTCCCCTAGGCTGGGCAGGGCTGAGCTGGCTCACTGGCAGGTGCGGGCCATGATGATATTCAACACCTTCAACTTGATCTTGGGTTTCATCGTGGTGGTGGTCGAGGTGATGAAGACAGCCTTGGGGTCTGCCCCAACTGCCTCCTCCCAGGTACTGGTGAATGAAGGAGAAGGTGGGAGGATGAGGAGGCAAGAGGAGGTGAAAAGGGAAAAGGGCAGGGGCGAACAGGTGCGGGGTCCCTGCATTCTCAGCCTTGTCTACCTGCAGCATGCTGGCTTGCTGGTGCTGGAGCTCAGTGCTGAGGCCTTCACCCTAGGGGGAGTGCTGGTCTCAGTGCACGCCCTATTCTTGCTGAGCCAGAGGAAACCAGGATGCTGCAGGAGCCAGAGTCTGCACTACCAGGAGCTGCAGGAGGTATGGGGGCAGGGAAGAAAGCATGAATAGCTAGCTGCCAACTAATTTTTCCACTGGCTATCCTGGTCAGTGGCATTTAACGGAAAACAATGGGGCAGGAGAGAAGAGGTCCTAGAATGAAACTGATTGGCTTTCTCTGGCTTTGGACATTTCTCCCCTAATGGTGGGTAAGAGGGAATTGGGAACCCAAATGATTGAGGTTAAAAGAGTGGGAAAGCATTAGGAAGCTGCCTAAATATTGGCAGGACTATGGGAAATAGGATAAAAAATTGGGCAGGAGGAAGCAGTTGTTTCTGTCTGGGGTTTCTCCTTTCTCACCTCTACAATTTGCTCACACCTGTCTCTGGTTTTCAGGGCTTCTCTGAGTTGGAAGAGGTTCCTGGTTTGGAGAATGGTCCCACGGTGGCCAGTACAGGAGCAAATGAGAGGGCGGGACAGCGGGAACAGACACGTGCTGCTCTCCTTCCACCCTGAGAGAATGCTCTCCAGACATTCCTGCCCCACCCCACCAAACTCAGAAGCTTGCTGGGATCCTTTGAGTCCAACAGGAAGTCCGGGAATGCCTTCAGTTTTCACTCAGAGCAGGCCCTTTTTGCGTTCCTTCCCTGTTAGGGGAAGATATACCTGGACGAGAATATATCCTCACCTACCACCTTGAAAAGCTGCTTTCTCCCTTCCATCCATATCCTCCCTCCCTGTCACCTCCCCATACAGCTTCACATCTGCCTCATCTCACTCTTTTTTCCTGTCCACTTTTCATAATCCCATCCACTCCAAATCCTGGACCCTGCACACGCCAACTCCCTGAATCCAATTCAGGAGTGCCCCAGTTCCCCTTTCGATCCGTCTCCTTTCTGCTGCAGCGGAAACTACAAGTCCCAGGATGCCCCAATAGCCCGTGACCGGCTGGGAAATAAAGAGCCTTCTCTCCGCGGTAGGGGCGCTGTGGATGTGCTGAGTGACGCGAGGCGGGGAAGTCGGGGCCTAGCCTAGCGCTTTCTCGGACGCGACCACTGGCCCCGCGTTCGGGGAGGAGCCGGGCGGGCGGTCCTGCACTGGCGTGCCGCTCCCCCAGCCACTGCAATAGAGAGCTGGCTCTGGGTCCCCAGCCCTGCGCTGGCAGCTTCAGAGACTGGCGAGGGCTCGGAGCTGACGCTTGGCAGAGCTGGGGCTTCCCAGATGCTGTCGCCGCACCCCCTCACAGGAGGGCCCAGGTCCGAAGTCCTGAGACTTGGAGCGCG